CTGATCACTCTTTCTAGCACAAACTAAGACCCAAAACCTCAATTCATCTTCTTCTATTTCATTTTCCAGTAACCAAACATAAAATGCAAACCTGAAAAACTTTTACTAACAAAAAACAATAAAAGAGACAAACAAACAAATTAAAAAACCTCACAACTCAGGTCGATAATAGAAGCTGAGTTCTATTTTTTACTCAAGAGAACATGCACAATCTTATTTGCATAATGTTAAAATAATGACACTATGAGAGTAATAAGTCATAACCTCATGAATTTACAATCACCTCTGCCACCAAACATACTTCATATACTTTTTCCAAAGTCATAAAGAACAATGCATAGCAGCTATTTAATCTACATCGAAATCTAATTTTTCCTCCTTATAAAAGCAATAATTCAGAAACTTTGAAAAATAGCTGAAACTCCCAAATTATGGATGTAGTCCTCACTTTTGTTTATGTATTCAATGTTATCTAGTTCCAAATACTCATAAATTCGACTACTTGAAATTCTTTTGCCGGAAAAAAAAACAGTAGTCCAATGTCAATAAATACCAAAACCCATGACAATCTGTAAATGGTGATCGCATAATCTCATATACTCTAATTCATCTTTCTAAATTACAAAGTCAATCCAAATTTTGGGGTCCCTATATAGAATATACAAATACTAACTTGCATAAATTAATACTAACTGAAATTTGAACCCAACAATAAAATTTGACGATAATGTTTGTTCTGGGTCTGTTGACATTGAAAACTTTAAGGTGCAAATTGCATGAGACAAAAACAAAGCTATTTGGTTCAACATCTGCATTCCTTTTCCACTATCTGCATTCTTTTTTCACTAAGTTTCGTGTTATGATGGGATTATTGTCAAAACCAACAAGTCATTCAAACATAAAACTCTAAATGCAAACATTAATCAACAAGTGATTTGAACATAAACACATAGCAAACACTAAAATTAGTATAACCTACATACAAAAGAAACCATACCACGCTATGCAAGTCCTTTTCCGGTACCAGATGTACAACTTCCCCTTCTTCACAAAGTACTTTACTTTTGAACTGTATATTTCCTCCCTGCTAAAGAAAACCATTCAGAGGATACATACAATCAAAACACCGATTACAATTTTTTTAATATAGTTTTCATTCTTACAATATTCAATTCATTAACAAAAAAAAAAATCGGGTATGAGTACCTTCTTTTAGCGCCAGTTTTGATGGTGTTAAGGCTTCCTTCCAATTTGCTCAAAGTTTTCTGATAGTGAAAACTGGCTCACTGTCCACCTTACCTTCTTTTAGCGCCAGCTTTGATGGTGTTAAGGCTTCCTTCCAATTTGCTCAAAGTTTTCTGATAGTGAAAACTGGCTCACTGTCCACCAAAAAAAAATTGATAAGTAAAATAGAGTTTATACAAAAATTACAAAGCCAAAAAAGGAATATCCTACATACCTTCACATTGCCCAGGTTCAGCAGTACCACAAGATTCACATTTACCAGATTCAAGGGGCAGACCAAGAAAGGGATTTGAGAGTTGACTAGCATGGCTGATAGGGCAGTCACTATTGGATGATGTACACTAGCAAAAAGAATCACAATAACCAAGCAGACCATATGTTGTTCAAAGTTCAAGTATCCCCAATATTGTGAATTTTACACAAAACCTACTTAAAATTATACAAACCCGCATTGCAAAATCCCAATTTTTCTTTCCTTTCCTTTCCTTACTAACATTTTCTCAGCAACCAGACATACCCCATGTTGACCAAAGGACTAGAATCGCCAAATTGAAATCATATACAAAACCAACATGCAAATACACCAAATCCACCTAGAATCAAACAGACCCAGTACGGACACCACCACCCTGCAGATTATGTTTATACTTACATACATATAGAACACATGCGTGTGTGGGTTTATGCTTGCATATATGTTTGTGTACTTACAAACACACACCAATGTCAGTAGAGACACACACACATACAAATATCATACCTGCAGTGAATTGATAGTGATAGGAAGGTGTAGAAACTATTACCTTAGCTGAGAGTTGAGAAAGAGAGGGGTTTCTTCTTCACACCATTCGGGTTTCTTCGGACCGTTGGGGAGAGAGAGAGAGAGAGAGAAAATGGGTTTTAGACTCTACATCCGTGCATGCAGTGAGAGCGATTGGTGATTTTTGTGTGGGAAGGGAATTACTTTCTGGAACCGTACAATGGCAAGCAAAGAGATATTGGGGTTGGGGAAGGGGGTTTCGAAAATCGAACTGGCCAATTAGGGGTTTCATATGGGAGGGAGGCTTAAATTTGAAAACCAAAATATAACTGAGGATTGAGAGCTCCGATTATAGGGCTCTGACGATGAGGAGAAAGAGGAGGAGAAGGATTGAAGTTCTTGTTCGTGTATGATGAAATTCTTAATACAAAAGGAAGATTTGAAGTCCATCTGGAGTGGTCGCTGCTCAGTCCCCGGAGTGGTCACTGCTCAATCGCCGGAGTGGTCTCTGGAGAGCTGCCTCTTGGAGTTGTGGTCAATCGCTTGGTGTTCAGGAATTTTTGTGGATGATTCAGGGGAGGTCACGATTTAGGGCAAAATAATTATATTGTGCGACGAAACGAAAAAACGTCGCAAACAAAAAAATAAAAAGAATTTAGGACAAAAGAATTTTTTAAAGAATTTATTGGTGACATTTTTTAAAAATGTCGCGAAAAATAATTCAATTATTATTTTTAAAATTTTTTATTTACGTAAAAATTATTGGAAACGTTGCAAAAAAGTAATTTAATTATTATTTTTAAAATTTTTTATTTACGTAAAAATTATTGGCGACGGTTTTTAAAAACGTCGCGAAAAAATAATTAAACTATTATTTTTAAATTTTTTTATTTACATAAAAAATATAATATAATTATTATTTTTAAAATTTTTTGTCAAAAAAAAATTTAATTATAATTTAGCAAAAAAAATTTTTAATGACAACATTTTTTTTAAAAAAAATTTGGTTTAAAATTTTTTTGTTAGGTGATTAGGTCTTATAGATAAATTTATAGTGAACTTTTTTTGTTGGTTTTTTTTGTATAACACTCATGTATATGAGTTGTTACTTTAATTAATGTTCTATTAATGAAATTATACTTTTGTGAACATTAATAATTTTCATATTTATATGGTTTAAGTTGGCCCCAATAGACAAAATTTCTGGCTCCACCCCTGCCTACAAGTAATGCTATGTTTGATCTAAAATATTGATTTGATTTGTTGACGTAAATCATAATAATTGAATTAAATTGTGCGTCACAATATATATTGAGAGATAGTTATGATTGATTAGGTTAATAAAATAAATTAGGTTAAAATTTTATAACCAAAAAACATTTTCTTTACCTTAAAAGGTCATGTCTAAGTAGTAAAAGTTGCAGTACATGTTTAACGTGACATAAACACAATACAATTTTTGTTTTTCGGTAATTAGCAATAAACACAGCACAGCTTAGGACTTCACTGCCGTATCGGAAAAAAAAAAAAAATGGTATCGTACCTCTAAAATTTACTATTCTAATAGATGTTTTTACAATTCTTGTAGGTCATTTCACAACAAAAAAATTTATCAATTTTGTGAGTAATTTATCACTTTTGTGAATATTTTTATCACTATTGTGAGTATTTTTATCACTGTTGTGGGTGTTTTTATCACTGTCGTGATAACTATTTTTATCACTTTTTTTAGTAAATTTTTTTTTATCACATTTGTGATAAATTATCGCATTTATGAGTGTTTGTACCACTGTTATAGTAACTATTTTTATCATTTTTCTTCGATTCTATAATAGTGATAAAAATATTTATAATCATGTTAAAACACCAAAAAATATAATAAATATCCATACAATACCACTTTCTATTTTTTTTTTTTTGAATACTGTGGACAACTCTTACAACTTAACTCTACTTATGGTAGAAAAAAAAAACTCTACTTATGAGACTTTATACGGACTCTCATTCCATGTTAAGAGCATTCGCACAGCATGACCAAACAACTTCACCCATAAAGATAATAGATTTTGTTGGTAGAATCAAAATAAAATCAGAAAGCAGATAGAGTAATACTAAACTAATGAAAAAAAATTGAAAAATTTTATTAATCTAAAATTTAAATTTTGTTCAGTATGTCAAGGTCACGTCATTTAAAATTATTTATGATAGATTTAGAATTATCTAGAAGATACAGTGTTGATTAGGCTGCTATAAATTTCACACAATCACATCTTCCTTACGTCGAATTGAATGGTTCTATTCTCCAAATTCAATTCAACTATGACCTCATTCATTCAAAGCCGCCTATCCTTCCTTTGAATTCTACTCTCGGCTCTTGTACAATTAGTGCACATGAAAATAAATTAAATAAAAAATTTGCCACCCTTTCCGAAAGGTATTAAAAGAGCAACCGAGGTGAACAACTAAAACAGATATCATCTGATTTTGTATCGTTAATGAAAGCTAATAAACTCATTAAACTCAAAACGTCTAATGTTACAGTTCGTCTTTATTATTATTTGAACTATGTTTTAGGTCAGAATATGAAAGAATTATCTCTTATAAATACCCTAATCTCGTCGTGAATATCTTTATTTGACTAGACTGAGAAAAATTTTAGTCGAAATGCACGTAAATTGGTTTAAACACCTTGATTATTAAACAAATAATAAAATAAAAAGAGATTGCATACAGACTTAATTCGTTAAAATTTGACTTAATTTATTGACATAATGATGTAACTTCGTAAGAATCAATGGATCCATACCAAGTTTCAATGTTTGATAGAATCTACAATTAATCCAAATGTGACAATGAATTAGGTCAATAAATTATGTCAATAAATTAAATCACAATAGCATTGCTCGTTGATATTATTTGGACAAATTCGTCACGTTATTCAATAACATTTAAGGTCATTGAATCGAATTTTAATCACTGAATCGGTGCCCTGGTTTCCTCGTCTCCTGCGATTTGAAAGGGTTTGAGTTTGTCAAATTTGGTAGAATGGAGAAAGGAAAAAAATTCTAATAGAATAACATAATTGAAGATCTGATACAACTGTACAGCTGTGCACCATTCTTCATTGACTAGCTTTACTGTATTCACATGGTTCATAACTGGTGAGCTATCTTATTGACTTCCATTACTCCTCCTTTACAACCTTAAAGCACACATAAATTGACTGCTAACAATAAATATGAGTAGCTGCTACCTTTGTGTTGGCACCATTTTTGTTTCCCGCAAAATGGCGAATATGAAAGTTGAGATCATATCCAGAGAAACCATCAAGCCATCTTCACCAACACCACCCCAACAAAGAACCTTCGAAGTGTCTCTTTTGGACCAGCTTTCTCCAAGCATCTATGTCCCAATTATATTCTACTACCCCATCAGTGAAGGTCATCACAATGTCAACCAAATTTCGGATCGATTGAAAGATTCTCTCTCCAAAACCTTATCTCGATTCTACCCACTTGCCGGACGGATCAAGGACCATGCCTCGATTGATTGTAACGATGAAGGAGCTCTGTTTTCTGAAGCTCAAGTTAATTGTCACTTGTCTGAGGTCCTCAAAGATCCCAAAACTGACTTGCTGGACCAGTTTCTTCCATGCTCAATATTTCCCATGGTGCCATTGAATGATGTAGTTCAGGTAGCTGTTCAACTCAACATATTTGCATCAGGTGGAATTGCAATAGGTTTGTGCTTCTTCCACGAGATTGTCGATGGAGCCACAATGAGTGCTTTCGTCAAATGCTGGGCTGCCATTACGAGGGGATCATATGATGAAGCAGCATACCCTGATTGCTTCGTGGCATCAAAGCTCTTCCCTCCTATAGAATCAATGACGGGTAATGTTTCGTTGCTCAACGAAAGCTGGGTGATCAAGCCAGGAAAAGGCGTCCGCAGGAGATTTGTCTTCGATGCTGCAGCAATATCTGCCCTGAAAGCCGAGGCCACAAGCCAACTTGTGCCTACGCCGTCTCGTTTTGAAGTAGTGTCCAGCTTCATATGGAAATCTGCTTTGGCCGCTTCTAGATCAGCCCTGGGATCCCAACACCAACAGCCATCGATATTGTCCTTTTCAGTCGATATGCGTCGACGAATGGAGCCACCACTGTCAGAAAAGTGCACCGGAAATTTGGCCTGGCAGGCACTGGCTCACCGTGCTGCACCCCAAGGAGATGAAACAGATCTGCAAGGTTCGGTCAGTCGATTCAGAGAAGCAGTAGCAAAAATCAACAATGATTTTGTGCAAACCCTACAAAATGGAGAGAGGTTTCAGGTGATATGCAAGTTCAAAGAAGAACAGGAAGAAATGTATCCTGACACAAAGCCGGAGATGTATGTGTTCACTAGCTGGTGCAAGTTCGGTTTTAATGAAGTGGATTTTGGGTGGGGAAAGCCGATATGGGTCAGTAATATAGGGGGTGATACCAACCCTATTTATGTGAATACTGTCACCTTGATGGACACGAGCTGCAGTGATGGAATAGAAGCATGGATGCTCTTAAACGAAAAGGTAATGGCTATACTGGAAAACAATCCGGAATTTTGTGCAGTGGCCTCATTGAACCCGAGCATTTCAAACCAGAGTGCCTTGTCTGAAAGAATAACCCTTCCTAGTTTGGCATGAGCTTTGCAGTTTGCTGCTTCATCCCAAGATGCCAATTTGTGGATCTGTTTGTTTGAATTTTCCTTGATTCCTGTACCTGCAAGCTTGCTGTTGATTGCAAAAAGTACACAAATTTGCAATAACATACTCAAAGGAGGATCAAACCAGGAGACAAAATTTCCAAACACAAATGTTACACAACTAACTGACTCAAAGAAGACACAATCCACTGATAAAAGTACTAGTTGAGACGAGTTACTGTCAAACTTGAGTAATTCGATTTTGGCAGAACTTTCACTCACTGGTACCTAAAAAAATGTTTGGTTTTTCTTTTTGTCTTGATCTAGTGTTGCATGAATTGTTCTATAAGTGAACATTTTTTTATTTGGTTTTGATAGAATGTGGACCAAATAGATTTTTTAGCATATGGGATACATGTGTGGTGGATTTGTTTGAGAAAAAATTCAATCCAAGTCCTGGGAATTCTGGTTCACATGTCATATAGATAGAACTGCATACGACACTTGAAATGAATCCAAAATGATACAATCCTAATATGATGTGAATCTAAAATGAATTGATCCAAGCATGAAACGACACAACTCAATTGACACTCATAAGGAAATATTATTCTCTTTAAAAAGCTCATTACTCATTACATAAACACTATTTCACAGAGTGAGATTCTTATTGACTTTTTGTGCACTAGTCTAGTAAGTTCTACATGCAAATTGGAGAAAACAAGAAACATGTTTTCCTCAGAAATTATTACAACTGCGAAAGCCAATGGGGGTGGCTTTAGTAGCAACAAACATATTTTTGTTCTCTAAAAGTACCTTAAGACCACTTTATCCTCCACTGTACAGATCCTTGGCATGGTAGGGCTCTGCAGGATTGCTTTTCCTTATCTTCGAGAAAATTTTGACCACAAGTAGACCAGAAAAAAACACAGCAGTGCAAAAAGAACCACATGCATAACATGGTTGGATCCCTCCCTGATGAAACTCCTGTTTAATTTCCTCATATTGTTCTTCACCCCAGCTTGAGCTTTAATCAGGGTCATTTGCTGTACCAACAAGAAAAGAAGAAAACCATTCAGGTGGCTAGTTCTTTGTTAAACGGAAAGCACAATAGGTTAGGGGTTCAATAACTAATACTTAGGCAAAGATCTTCAGGTTAAGGGTAGTGCAAAAAAAGTTTCCAGCAGCACTTCAGATTACTTCAGATAAAGTTTTGGACCTAGTTATGCAGGTAGTTCTCTTTTCCTATTCTCGATATAAATCATAGTGCTTTGAAAAGATTAAACAGTAATACTTTGACGCAACCCTTTTGACTGAACTGTTGCTCCCCCTTTTTTCTTCTTCAGATGTCCTTTTGGCACCCCTACCATGCAACCTGGTTCCAAGTGTGTCTATATTAAGCTGAGGGTTCTACATAATCTCTCCACCAATCAAATCATTGATTTTATCCCCAACTATAATGTGAAGAAATTTATCCTCGACAAATAAGACACCGGATTTTTGGCATTTAATAAGTCCAAATTGACCAAAAGTTTTTGATATCATTCCATGACATAGTCGCAATATTAGTGAAAAGTGAAAACCAATTCCTGGAATTTTTGTTCTCCTCTCATACACAAAGCTTAAAATGTTGAAAGCCCAAGTTTCATCGAATGAACCAAAAAATAATTCAAGATATTAAAACAGAATATCACATACCTACAAAGTCATGCTTAATCCATTTGTCCCTTTTTCTTCTTTTTGTTCTGTATTCCCACTTTGTAACCCCATATTATGATTTCTTCACTAGATCAAAATTATTTATATAGTTTCTAAAGAAAATAACTCAAATAGTCAATGCAAACATGTAGCAGCAATAGTTTAACACAAGAGAAAGCAATTCACCCAGAACTGAGCACTCCTGACAACCTATGGTCTACATTCACCAAAGGATAGTTATCAGAAGCGCAAAAAAAAAAAAACAAACTCAAGTTAAAATGGCACATTTAATGGAATACCAGTTGACTGATAAAATCATTCTGAAACTTCGCTTCTGACTCTATCTCCTGAGCTACCTGCAATTAGAAACAAAAATTCAGAAGAGTATTGCAAAGTCTCAACTACACATAAGTACTTAGATTTATAGGATTAAAAACATGAGTACAACAACTACATGCAAAGTCTCAACTACACATAACAGGTTCATGAACATAGAGTGATGAAGTCTAAAAGATTGCAAGGACATTCCCCATATAAAACAAGAGTATAAAAGATGTCTTCCAAATCAAAACATGAAAGCTCCAAAAATCTAGCAAATTCCTCCATTTTACTACATCCAAACACACCGAAGAAGACCAGAAGAAACCATCCTTCAGATAACCTTACTCTCTCAGTAGTTGGATATGTTGCCTGGAAACCAATACAATGGATCTTGCAACTACTACTAAAGTTCAAATAGAGAACACATAGTGCCATGATTGACTCCTTTATTTATGGCAATTATGCACAATGCAAGATGCTCAAATGCTTGAACTTCAGTATCTAATATTAAATTACATCGTAGAAACTGGTCCATTTCAGATTTGTGAAAAAAAAAACTCATTCTGCACGTTTTATTCACAATCAAGTAAGGACTCTTTCTTGCTTAGGAAAAAGAAGAAAGAAAGGACTCTTGCTGCACACTGTTACAACATCTAACACAAAGTAAAACTGATGGAAGCTTTTTAAATTTAAAATTAATGTTTTTAAACTAAATCATGACAATTTATCGGAAGATTAAGCTCTTATGCAGCAAAACCTTCAAAAATAAATTCTCTAAACCTGGTTTACAAAAACGAAGACTTTGTACACATAGTGTTCCAAAAACAGATTAGATTTTATAAACTTTACCACTTCCAAAATCAGGCGTTAGCAAGACCAACACTAGATAAAGGAACATTTCACTTCTTGAGAACTAGGAATCAAATAAATAATTGACACCGGTTTCTGGTGTCCATAAACTGCACCAAACAGGCCCCAAAATAAAGATATGCTACATCCACCGTGTGCACTCATTCGCCGGTTAACTATATCCTTCTTGAATCACAAAAACCATTTGTCCACAAGGGCACAATAAATAGGAATTAGAGTCCAATCACTAGACCTTCAACTACACATGGAGTGAAAATGAATGATTCCACAGTCATCACAAATCTGGCTTGCACCCCAGTTGGAACTCGGAATCGTGAAGCCTTAATTACCCAAACAACCAATGATTAGATCTATGCACAAGTTATAAAACCTTCCGCACACAGTATATATACTAAAATCAAAGAGAAAACCGATAATTCATCAGACGACGAAATAGTTCCTTTTAGTTGTTTTATGCTCACTGTACTGTACATTACAGAATAATTAACCATAAAGTGCAGTGGTTAACTGAGTAAAGATGTGAACATTAGGTTAACATCAAAATTCAGTTTCACAATGATCTTGAATCTTGATCAATCAATGCTTAACTAAAAACTACTCAACTGCACAAGAATTCATAGTAGTTGACCACACAGATGTCAAACTCACCAAACCTAACAAAGACCAATGACATGTTATCCAAAACTCTGATTTTTTGTATAACGTAAATGTTATCAAAATTAAGTATACAATTAAATTATATTACATTGTATCAAGTCTAATTTATGCAATACCAGAATTGCACTTATATATACTGTTACATGCAACTTAATCAAAATAAAAATAAAAAAAGCAAAATCAGTGCATTCACAATGTCACAAATCTGAACGAACAATAAAATAAGAAAATCAAAATATTCAATTTGAGCCTTATGAATAGGGATGTTAGTCAAACGAGCTCGAGCCGAGCTTGAAAAGCTTATTTTCTAATCGAGCCTGGAAAATTGTTCAAGTTTGGCTCGTTTAGGAAACGAGTTGAGCCTAAATGAACACAAAACAAGTCAAGCCCGAGCCGAATCCGAGTATTTGCACATATATGGTCAAGCCTGTCGAATTTGAGCCAAACTTATACGGCTTGTTTTTTAAACGAGTCTAAAAATTTATTCAAGTTTGGACTTGTTTAAAAAACGAATCGAGCCTAAACAAGCCGAACTTGACTCAGCCTCAAATAGCTCAGTTTAATTAACAGCCTGCTTATAGAACGGATTACGTCTTTGCTGAATTGGCACTTCAATCTCCAAAGACCAGCAAACTAAAAGACTAATGTAGGAATAATGTAGCAATATGCAGGGAGAGAGAAGAAATTCTGAAACTGGAATCTAGAATTGGTTTGGATTGAAATGGTTATAGGGCAATCTATTTATAGACTCTTGGTGGCTGTTCAGGTTGCCTGAAGAGGCATGGGATGCCACTGTTCAGATAACATTCAGATACCAATTAATACTTACATTCCTGAGCTGCCTAACTTGCTTCCGAAGACTAGTGATCTCATCATCCAAGTCCCCATGCATAGGATCAATCCGCAATTGGATTTCATCAGAACCAGCTGTTGGCCTCGTACTAAGCCCTTCTCTGTACAGAGAGAAAAGCAAGTCTCAAACCGCCGCTTGGTGAATAAGAAAATCACGATTTTAATAAATTAAAAAAAAAAATCAGAACTAGGTTAAAGTTAAATTTGCTGTATAAAAAATCCAAAATTTCTTTTCTTTTCAATTTCAATTTCAAATCCTTGAGCAAAAAAAATTAAAAATAGAGATAAATTCTCCCAAAGATATCGTGAATGATGAAATACCTCGATCTGTAAGGAGAAGCACCGTAGAAATCACTGCAACTGTGAGAATTGGACGCCATTATTAGAGATTGAGAAGATCAGGCTTCGAATTTAAGGAGATAAGGGCTACAAGGAAAGATTCAGGGAATTCAATAGGGGGTGGTACTGGTAATTGTTTTTTTGAATTTCTTCCGAGAGGAAGGAGGCTGTGACGTGCATGGTTGGCGTTACATGTCGGTAGGAGCCACAATAATCGACACAAAACCGAGACAATATCGAATTCAAAAGAGAGAATTACACTTATATCCTCTAAAATTCTTAATTATTCAAATTTCCTAATATTTAAAATATTACACATAAACTATCTAAAATTTGTACATGTGTCACACTTAAACCCCTGTTATAAATATATACATTGATAAATTACAACCAGACTTCCTAAAGTTTGTAAGCATATATATTACTTAAAACCTTAAGTTTAAAATGTTATAGTTAAATCAAAAATACTTCAATCAAGATAAAATATTAAATATTTTAAATTTTATAATTAAAATTCATTTTCTGTTTATCTTTTATTGAAATAAAATCAAAAATAAAATTTTAATTTTTTTTAAAAAAATCGTAATTAGTATACAATTATATTGTCTATTAAAAATTAATATAGTCATTTAAACGATCAAATTAACATACCAAACTACTCAAAGTAAAGCTAAAAGATATTATGTCCATTACAATTCGACATCTTATTTAATTTTTTTAGTAATATGTTAATAGATAAAATAATTATATACTAACTATAATTTTTTTTTTTTAAAATAATACTTTTATTTTTGATTTTATTTCAATAAATGATATAATAGAACATGAATTTTAGATGTAAAATTTATGTTCAATTATGAATGACTTAGACCTCTTGTTTGATTTTTTTGTTTTATTCCAATAAATAATATAATTGTATACTAATTACAATTTTTTTTTAAAAAAATATTTTTTTATTTTTTATTTTATTTCAATAAATGATACAATAGAATATAAATTTTGGTTAAATATTTAAAATATTTGATAGTTTATCTTGCATTGAAGTATTTTTAGTCTAAGTATAATATTTTAAACTTAAAGAGTCTAAGTATTATATACCTACAAACTTCAAGGGAGTCTAAGTGTTACGAGCATACAATTTTAGAGGTCTGTGTGTAATATTTTAAATATTAGGGAGTATGAGTAATTAAGTAACAAATTTCAAGAGATCTGAGTATAATTCTCCCAATTCAAAAAGGATATAATCAATCCACACGAAAAATAAATAAAATAATTTAAATTAAACATGAATAATATAATTAGTTAGTTTTTTAAGTTAAAGTCTTATCTATTATTAAAAATATCACTAACACCTGTTTTAATTTATATTTAACGTCACGGGTACCATTATCATTAAACCACTATTTATAATAAAAATAAATTATCTAAAATATCAAAATTGTCCCTATAAAATTCAATTCAAATTCGAACCGATGAAAATTTATTTTTTGACATATTAAAATTCAAGCTAACTAATTTTTTTTTTCTACATATTAAAATTTGACTCAATTAAAATTTGATTCGAGGTGATTAAATTTTATTTTTTTACGCTTTAAAATTTGAGTCAATTTGAACGCTACTTAAGTTGTTAGTCTAGATTAAAATTCACTTCAAATTAATTAAAAATTTTATTTTTTATTTATTAAAATTTGATTTAAGTTGATTAAAATTTATTTTTTATATTTTAAAATTTGAGTCAATTAAAATTTATATTTTTTTTTGTATCAAAAATTGAACCCATTAAAATTTAATGGGATTTGATTAAAATTTGATTTGAGCCTCGAATAGAATTTTAATCGGTTCAAATTTTAATACGTAAAAAAATATAATTTTTAATCAACCCAAATTTTAATATATAAAAAATAAATTTTAATTAACTCAGATCAAATTTTAATCTACTCAAATTTTAATACATAAAAAATAGAACGGGTCTCATTGCAGATATGTCTATCTAGAGGGGTGTGAATGAAATTTTTTCTAAAAAATATATCATGGACAATTTAGTAAAATTGCGTTAGAATTAACACTTTTAATCTGACAGAGGGTGTCATTGAAGATTTAGAAAATAGAGAAAGTGTTTTTAAAAATATGATAAACTAGAAAGGGTGTTACTGAAATTTTTCCAAAATAATATAATAAGACACAAATTGATATTCTAGACGTACCAGCGTTGGCAAAAATTTTGAACTAAAGCATGAATCCTCTATAGAAAATGCCCAATATGCTGATTGTTCATGGATTCCTAAGGAAAGTAATAGTAGTGTTACTCATAGTTGCTGTGATGTATGGAGAGGAGTAAGTCGAGTTTGTTGGATGCTCCTCTTCAATTTGATCTCCATTTCTAATACAGCTTTGCAGATTGTTTCATTTCAAAAAAAAAAAAAAAAAACAACATATGAGTGTTGAATGAACAAGATTTTGATCCGATTTAGGTCCACCTCAATTAAAATTAATTAGATATAACTTTTAATACAAATCCAAATCAATCTTAAAATCGCAAAAAACAACTAACAAAAAATGATAAATATTTCAAGCTAATATCAAATACGAATAATATAATTTTAACTCACTTAATATAATTAACTAATATAATATACAAAAAATAATTTTAATATCTTATATCACAGTACTAGTCATAATTCATGTCTGAAGGCACAATAGAACATAAAATTTGAGCATCCAAAAAATAGATTATACTATATTAATTTTTTTAAAAATATATTAACTGAATATTAATTAAATAATAAATAATTAAATATATGATAAAAATGAATTATGTAATATTTTTAGAGAGAAAATATATAAATAATTAAATATGTGATAGAAATGAGTAATGTGATTTGATATTTCAATCTGACAAAAGTATAATGTGACGTGGGTGATGGATTAGGTGGAAGAAACAATGGAGCCCTTATTGAATTCTTGTTCATAAAACTATGTGTGTCAGTCCATTGGGTTAGTGGCATGCCATCTCACCCTATTAACCAAGCTAACCGAGGTAGGCTGCATTGTCACCGAAAATCTATTCTAAAATAAGTCGATTCGAATGTTATACATTAATAGAACTTATTTCTACCCTTTTTTTTTTCCTCAACGGCCACTGTCAAAGTGTTTAGCCAGCATACATGCACTTTGATTAATCTCATCTCCTATCCAGTAAAAGATAGAGGTATTTATGAGGAATTATCCCTCATGACCTATCTCTAAGAAATTACTAAAATTCGAACACAGTATGTCTGCATTTATATGTAGTCTCTGTTACCACTTAAATTACACAAGAATTAACTACTCTTACTTTTTCATATGTGAAGACGAAGCTGAAAGTGAGACTCGAACCAAGGCCATGGCCCAGAGGAACCTGACTCGACATATTTGTTTTTTTTTGGGTAATTTAGAAGTCGGTACAAAAATTTAAACTTATTGGAACTAAACTACATTAAAGAAATTTATTTAGCACTAAGTGCATTTTTTTGAAGAAAGATTAAAATGGTATTTTTTACTCCATTAATCTCTTTCCTTCTCTCTCTCCATTACCCTTTCACTCTCTTTTCACTATTTTCTCTCTATCTATTTCTCTCTTTCATATTGATAATTTATTTTTAAATATATAAAGATTTGATTTAATTTTTTTCATATCTCTCCCCTTATTTTTTCTCTCTCTCACTCCCTCTCCCCTTATTTCCTTATTCTCTCACTTTTTCTCTCTCCTTATATCAACGTTACACAATACAATTATATTAATCAGTTACATCAATTAGTTATAATTACCCTATAATATACTAAACAATTACTCATATATTCTAATAAACCAAACAATTATACTAAATAATTATACAAAACTACAACACCAACTCATTTTGTCATTTTGGTATTTACAAAAATCAAAGAGTTGCATCATTTCGTATCAAAACATTGTTAAACCAATTATATAAATCAAATTGGGTTTATTACTACACAAAAGACTTTACCATTATACTTGATGATACTCAGAATGATTCCCAAGCTAGAGTTCAGGAATGGAGGTCAGGTAAGCTGAGCTAAGAAGGTCAGAGCTATGCAGAGCTCAGAAAACCAAAGCTAGAGCTCCCCTCAAAGCGAGATAATAAGCTGAAGCAAGAAGAAAGCAACTGGATACTACAAAAAACTCGAAAGACAGCTTGAAATAACACTCAAGGCACAAAATCCTCAACCAACCAAGAAACTCTCCTAAACTAAGGAGAATTCCTCGGATAGATGGCAAGGATCACGGATCGGATCCCATAAATTAAGGGATACCCCTATAAATACTATGTAACGCCCCCAACAGAGGGGCAAGAACCCTAGTATCACATTGTATATTTTGTAACCCTTTTTGATATAGTAAATAGTGAAGGAAGAAACAAGAATCTCCATTGAAGAGTGGATTAATTGAGCTCTCGAACAGGTGAACCACTATATTTCTACTGTGTTAATCCCCCAACTCCCCAACAATTCTCAGTATCACTCTCTCGAGCCTAGTAGCTTAGATCCCAATAATTTCAAGATTGTTTCTTTCATTTACACGTCGTCACAAAATTGCATTACGTTGAAATCACACCATCAGTTTGGCGCCATCTGTGGGAACGACTGTTCCTATTATAAACAAATTGATTTTTCAGTGACTGAAGGTATCAACGTGAAACATGAACCGAAGTCAGACAAATCCACCACAGGTGCAAGATCAACAAGAAGCTACTAATAGCAGACAAACTGAGAATGTCCAAGAGACCAATCCACCTGTGGGGGGTCTCCCTATGAATAACAAGATGGAGACCCTTCGCCTCGTCAATCAACGCTTACTCAAGCAAAATGAAGAACTTTTAAAGCTCTTACAATGCCCACAAGAGGCACGACAGGCTCAAGAAGGCCAGAACAACCTCCCACCTAGGGAGCAATCACACCTCAACCCCCTTAGAGAAGTTAACGAAGAAGGGTAAAACAGTCAAACCATGGGGTCAGAACCTCACGTACCCCCCCAGGAATGGCCACAACGATAAAGGGCAGAGTCAAAACGAAGAAGGTGAGAGAAACGATTTTTTCCCTATTAGCAGGAAAGGAGAGAACAATACTGGGAACAACGTTTCCAGGGTATCCAGCACGAGCTCAACCGCATGAAAGAAGTTGTGAGAGGCAAGGCTTTAGTT